AGTTGTCAAGTGAATTCCAACCCATGGTGACTCTATGTCATGTGTTCCAGAGTAGAACTGTGCTCCGTAGGGTTTCCAATGGCTGTGATCTTTCTAAAGTAGATTGCTAGATCTCTCTTCTGAGGTGGCTCTGGGTGGATTCGAATAGCCAGTCGTTTGCTTAGTAGTCGAGCACTGACCCGTTTTCGCCACCAAGGGACTCCCCACCATGCATGTTATCTATGTGAAAATTATTAGCATCCAGCAGTTACTGATTACTTAGCAGCTAAGATATGTAAGGGCTGTGCATTGGGAGCATGAGGCTAAGCAGGTGCTGGAGTTTCTGCTATGGAATATTTAGATACAGAGGTAATACTGGAACACCTTCTAGTCCAGATTTTCAGACCATATATGACCTTGATGATCTTTTTATGTAGCCTTACCAAAACAAGGCTCAAATTGATTTTTTTCCCAGTTACAAATAGTATAATTTTAGCTATGTTTCCAGGCCTCGTTGAAACACCAGTAATATGTTGAGTCAAAGAAGAAAAAAAAAGTCAATTTAAAAAAAATAAAAAGAGTCAAAGAAACAATCTTGCCTGGCAGGCTTGCAGATCTGTCCACCTGTACGTGAAGTGCCGAGCACAGAAAACCCGTTGTCATCAAGTCGATTCTGACTCATAGCAACCCTATAGGACAGAGCAGAACTGCCCCATAGGGTTTCCAAGGAGCAGCTGGTGGAGTCAAACTGCTGACCTTTTGGTTAGCAGCTGAGCTCTTACCACTGTGCCACCAGTGCTCCTAGGGCAGAAAGCAGTTGTAAATAGTAAAAATTATGAGTGAGAGCATCAGGCTGGAGTTCCACTTTGGGCCCCTCTCTATAATACTGCAGAAGCTAAGGGCTAAGTTACAGAGCCCTAGAACTGCCCCATAGGGTTTCCCAAGGAGTGGCTGGTGGATTTCAACAGCCAACCTTTTGGTTAGCAGCCATAGCTCTTAACCACTGTGCTAATACTGTGGAAACCCTGGTGGTATAGTGGGTAAGAGCTATGGCTGCTAACCAGAAGGTTGCCAGTTTAAATCCACCAGGTGCTACTTGGAAACCCTATGGGGCAGTTCTACTCTGTCCTATAGGGTTGCTATGAGTCGGAATTGACTGGACGGCAACAGGTTTTTTTGTTTTTTTTTGTTTTTCCTTCTATAATAGGTATGTCCATCCTCAGGAAAAAAAAAAAAAAGAGTTAAAAAACCAAAACCATAAAATGATGGCAAACAGCAGTTACGGAATAATGGCTATGATAAATGTGCGGTTCATTTAATGACTAGTAATAAGATTAATCCGTTCCATTCTTGCCCAAGAGATACTTAAAGTAATTGCATCTTTGAAAACTGCACTGTCATCACATTATGCTTTTGATGATGTCATGGAATACTGTTATAGGCTGGATACGCTCAGCGGTTTTTCTTGTACATCTTTTGCTATTACATTACTCTATTGGCTACTGGTTACCAGCCATGAATTTGCAATATTCTGTGGTGTCTGCTGGTTAAAGAGAGAGGTCTCTAAATCCCCCAGTCTCCTAAATAAAATGCATATCAATTTTAATAAGTTTAAACTAATGCATACTAAAGTGTTTGGAGAAGTTTGGAGGTGTCATGGAATATATCTAATGCCATTTTTCAACAAAACAGGTTGGGGATCACTGCTGTGCACACTAAAAAGAAAAGGAGCAAATGAGAAAAACAAACATATTATTCAACACACTTCAAATGTTTACAAATATCAGCTGCCCTTCAAACATTTCCTCCCAACTTGGAAACCTGAATTTTTAACTTTTACTTTTTGTATTTATCCATAGTCTATAAATAAAATCCTCTTACCTTTGTCCTGGTGGTGCAGTGGTTAAGAGTTCGGCTGTTAATCAAGAGGTCAGTAGTTCGAATCCACCGGTTGCTCCTTGGAAACTCTATAGGGCAGTTCTACTCTGTCCTATAGGGTCGCTATGAGTCAGAATCGACTTGACAGCAGCGGGTTTGGTTGTTTTTTTGGACCTTTGTCCTAAGGAAGATGTCATAACCTACCAATCACTTCACAAAATTAAATTAACATCACTTCCATAATTCTCTACGCAAGTGGGTGCAGCAACAATTAGTCCAGGTCTAAGATTCTAAAGTAGTTCCCAAATTAGATATGCTTTGATTATTACCATCATGGTTATCTATTTTTATTGCACATCCATGCATCAAAAATAATCATGGCCATTAATCTATAAAAAATAAAAATACTTTCTATTACTGCTACCAATAAAACCAAACCCATTGCTGTGGAGTCGATGTTGACTCATCGTGACCCTGCAGGACAGAGAACTGCCCCATAGGGTTTCCAAGGAGCAGCTTGTGAATTTGAACTGCTGAGCTTTTGGGTAGCAGCCGAGCTCTTAACCACTGTGCCACCAGGGATCCTTATTACTGCTAAATATTATTAAAACTTATGATGCTGAAGTAGTTTGAAATGTTATTTCTTATTAAAATATTTTTACCTTATATATAAAGCTCCTGAACTTAAAAAAAAAAAAGACGATTTATTTAAAAGTATTAGAAAGTATCTTATTGAATATTTCAGAGTACTAAAATGAAGGGATATCTATGGAGAATTGTTTTGTGATTGCCTGTCTTTTTTTTCTGGACAAGTGATTAGTTTGGTATCCTGTCTCTCCTACCAAAACTGTTTTGTTGAAATTTAATAAATAGAAAATATATTCCATATGTTGTAAGTATGTTCCCAATGATGGCCCCAAAGAGCCTGTTTCAATCCTCAGACACTTGAGTAGGGATTGGTCCCCTGGTGACATGAAAAAGTTAATGCAACATTCAGAACCTAACATGGACCAGACAGACATGAGAACTGTTAGGATCTATTGTCCCCAAGTGTCAAGTTTTAGGCTACCCTGTATTCATGCCATTATGGCTGAAATACATCTTTGAAAAAATAGCCTTCAAAGGATAAAAATCACAAATCCATTTATAGATGGTTAAATTTCAATGTGAATTTGTATGGCCAAAGACAATTAAATTATTCATAAGAAAAACATAACTTAGTAATTATTTTAATAGCAAGCAAACCTCATCATTTGTGCTAAATCAAATAGATCATGTTCAGTTAATTAGAAATTTTCCAGATGTCATCTACAAGATGCCTATAAATACTTAATCCAAAAAACACAACAAAAGATTTGGAAGAATTTATGTCATAAGAGAACACACTATTCATCAACAATTTTTAGGTCTTATATTTACTTTACATATTCCTTTTCTTCTTGCAAAGTTTAAGGCATATAACAAGAATACACCAAGATGAGACTATTTAAGTCAATGAAGTGTTTCTATTTGTTTAAAAAACACCTTACATTCAGAGTACGGTCTCCACTGTTCACTCATTTCTATAAAAGCTTCTGATAAACACAAAGGCTGACAGACATGTACTTCACACATTCAGATGGGTCTGTATAGTAAACTTTCTCTTCACAGCTAATTTGGGGTGAGGGGGTAAGGATCTAGTATCATGCCTTCTGTAATATCCTATTCAATACTGTATGTAAAAATCTCCATTTTATAAATATAAACAGCCTGATTTTCTTCCTAAATATGTAAGCACCATGTATTTCAAAATGACATTTCATAATGTATTTAATCCTAATGTCTCCAGAAGACCAAAAACAAAGGTTAGTGGAGAGTAGTTGGTAACTAGAAATTTAAAGAATGATATTCTGAAGATACAGAGGATCACAAGTTGCTGCAGGGGAAAATCAGTAACAATTAAGCCTAATATGCCAGATTCTAAAGGTCTAGCTTCACAACTGATTAAATTGCTGTCGTCTGTCATTTACCTACCTCTAGTGACACCTGTTTACAGGTTTACAAAATGTGAAAAGGAATTGATGCTTTATACATTAAAAAAAAAAAAAAACTTTCCACGCTTCCACACCTGCCCATATTCTGCCAACAAATATTTATTGTAACACCTTAATGAACACAGCAAGAGGTCTCAATAAGGGTAGCTATGCTCAGCCTTCAGGTAGGCCCTAGTCAGTGATTCTAGGCTATTGAGAATCTACATCTGTTTTAGAGACCTTCCCCAGAAGTAAGGGAGGGTGGATGTGGAACATATTGCTCAACAATAGGACGGTGGAAGTTGAAGAAAAAGAAAAAGAAAAAAAAAAAATAGAGAACTCTGGGAAGCTTGCCAATTCTGACCCACTTCCCTTGTACGGACTCGACAGACTCCATTGTGCTACTGTGTGCACAAACCTGCAGTCGTTACCACGCCCACCTCAGCCCAATTCTGGCCAGCTTCATCTGCTGACATGACTTCAGATCTGGACGAAGGGGTGCAAAGGAAAGGCGTCCGTTTATGGGCAATGACCAGTCCCCTGCTCTTTGTCAGTCCTCCTGAGAACAAAGGCTGCGTGTACTTGAACGACCCCACCCCACCCCACCCCACCCTACCCCATGGAGCAGCTCTGGTCTGGGAAATCATTTAAGCATGGTGCAGGGACTGAAGTCGAGCCAGGCCAACAGGGGGTGGCATATTCTGCATTGGCACTTCTGTTTCTGGGTTCCCTTTGCCCCCCTCCTACCCCACCCCTTTGCAGGTGCCAAGCCCTGACCAGTGGCCAACTCTCCTACAAAGAAAGTGGGAACGACTCCTGAAAGCAGCTGTAGCCGCTCATGATGCAGGGGAGCTCGTTCCGCAGCTATTAAAACCAGGCGTTTCAAAAACATTTAAACTTTGGTGCAAGGGGTAAAAAGGGCGGGCGGCGGAGAGGGGGAGCGTGCGAGGAAGTGAGTAAGACAATTCATTTCTCCCGGCCTCGTGGTGGCCACCAACCCCGCGCAGGTTTCCATGTCCCTGGACACCCACCGCCCTGAGGCAGGTTGCCCCGCGCCGCCCCTCGCCCGCGCGCGCGCCCCACCATCCCCTCTCCGAGCTTGATCGCTCGGCCGGTGGCCCCCGGACTCACCGCTGACGACCCGGCGGCAAAAGGCGCCTTGGTCGCAGAGCAGCGCGGCGCCCAGCAGCAGCCACACCACGCGGCTCATCGCGGCCCGCAGCAGCAGCAGCAGGTGTTAGGTGGAGCGAAGGCGGCCTCTGCCCCGCGCGGCCCGCGGCTCTAACCCCGCAGCCTCCCTGCCTCCACGCTGGGCTCTACTCCCGCCGCCTGAGCAGAGCTGCCCAGCCACCTGCACGCATCGCCTTCGGCCCGACCTGCCTCCAGGCGCGTTTGTGCCCCGCGCGGGTGTGCGGGGCTGGAGCGCACTAGCGGCTAGGTGCGCGTGTGGGGAGAAGGGAAATGAGGAAGTTAGGGGGTCCTGTATCTGTCCCAGGGGCGAAAAAGGAGCCCGGGGTTGGACCTCACAAGCCCCTTCTGCCCTTCTCCCGGCCTCTGGCTCGTGGGAGACTGAGCCCGTGCACCCTACTTGCGGTTCTTGCAGCAGCAGCAGCTCTGCGCTGGAAGCGCCGCCTTATATACCCACATCCCGAGGATCCTGCCCCTTGCTAGTATTATTTTTTAACTGCTTCGTCTCTCTTGCCAGGAGGAGCATCCCAGCCCCACCCCTATAAACTGGAGCCACTTTGAAAACAGTCCAGTCAGCAGCCCCACCTCTCCCTTCCCTCCTCCCACTCGTCTCTTTCCATTCGCTGACAGACTCGATACTCATTTGTGTGAAATGTGACAGCTTTGCTATTAAACTCTGGCAAAAGTTGGATCCATTTGGTTTTCTCAAAGATTAACGTCCACGAGGACGCCAAGTTGTGAGGCCTTTCTCTTTTTGTGCTAAATTGCTTGATCATACGTACTGCTAGGTGCAGGGCGCTAGCCACTACTTGAGATGGATTGGTGAAGGGGGAGCCAAAATCTGCTCCGTGAATTATAGAATGTGGCAGGTTTTTCCCCACCTCGCTTCTTCAAACAGATGATTTCCAAGCAGGTTGTTTGACTAAATTGCCACAGGAGCAAACTGAAGAGAACATTTGAAGCACCATTCTCCCAACTGATTTTAATCTCAGTATTTCAGCTCCAGAGAAAACCATCCACACAAAATAAATATTTGAAAGACTTGGAAATTTTCTAGATTAAAAATTTAATGTGTTTGTTTGTAATCATCTATTAGTGACTATGGAAACCCTGGTGGCATAGTGGTTAAGAGCTACGGTTGCTAACCAAAGGAGTCCACAGTCCGAATCCACCAGGCGCTCCTTGGAAACTCCATGGGGCAGTTCTACTCTGTCCTATATAGGGTGGCTATGAGTCACTCTGAGTCGGAATCGACTCGACAGCAATGGGTTTGGTTGTTCTTTTTTATTTGTGACCTCTGGTATACATTAGAAGTGAAACTCATTAAAAACTACAGAGTAACTTTTCCATAACCTACCTGGTCTTCATTACAGAAGTCTACCCAAAGAAGATAGTTTCCAGGAGTACTGGAAAGAAGCCGAGGAGAGTTTTATCTATAACTGGTCCATGGTATGAGTTCTGAAGATGCTCTCATAATGTGTTTCAATGGAATTTTTTGCCATTATGTTGTATTAAGTGTACCAGGGTTTGTTAAATGAAATCGTTTTGTTTTAATGCGTAGTACACTTTCCTATAAGTGATTGGTGTTGCAGTGATTAAGCGCTTGGCTACTAACAGAAAGGTCTGCGATTCGAACCCACTAGCTGCTCTGCTGTAGAAAAGATCTGCTGATCTGTTCCCTTAAAAATTACAGCCTGGGAAACCCTATGGGGCAGTTGTACTCTGTCCTACAGGGTCGTTATGAGTTGGAATCGACTCGATGGCACACAACACTTTCCTATAACTCCACACTGCTTGGTTTTCATAAGCTACCAGTACATCTAAATATTTGTTGGATAGTTTTCTTGGAAAAGGAAGTCAATACTTCAGCTACAGTTAGGACTGACCACAAATCTTGCAGAATTATAAATTTTAGGTCCTTTGAAGGACCTTAAAGATTATTAAACTCTCCCTCTTCAAGAAAGCAGAATTCCAGAAAAATTACAATGATTTATCACTTATTTTTCCTTGTATTACCACTAAAAACACTAATTTCTTGCAGGGATATAGGCAGGCACAGAGCATGTGGATTTTGTGAATTTCATCACTATCGAAACGTCCAAAAGATACAGGCACTGCTGGGATTTAGAATGGAAAACTGATAATGCCTCAAGGCTACCCAAATTATAATAACCATGATGGTTAACTTTATGTCAACTTCACTAGGCTGTAGTACCTAGTTATTTAATTAACCATTAATCCAGTTGTTGCTGTGAAAGTTATTTTTGTAGATATGCTTACATCTACAATCACTTGACAATCAAGCAAAGGAGATTACCGTTGATAATGTAGGTGGGCCTCATCTATTCAGTTGAAGATTTTAAGAACAAAAACTGAAGTTTCCTAGAAAAGAAGAAATTTTACCTCAAAACTGCAGTTTCAGTGCCAAGAGTGTCCAACCTACAAGCCTGCCCTACAAATTCTGGACTTGTCAGCCCCTACAAGTTTTAAGCCAATTCCTTAAAATGAATCTCTTAAATACACATTGGTTCTCCTGTTGGTTCTGTTTCTCTGGAGAACCCTGACTGATACAATAACTGTATCCTCAATGTTGTTGTTGTTGTTAGGTGCCATCAAGTCGATATCCTCAAAAAAGTTCCTAAAATATAGTTTCTTACCTTAAACTAGAATTATATAAACTCAGGGTGGCCCCACAGGTTAACTAAGGGTGCTTAACAATTACTCCAGTAGCCATTTAACTTAAGAAAACGAATTAACACAGGCTCTTTTTAGAAAAGCTTTTTCGAAAGGCAGTTGGCCAAAAAGATCGGCTTCTGTTTGCTTGGTTTTTTGTTTGTTTGTATTGTTTTGTTTTGTTACTCCATCACCAAAAAGCATCTGGACAGATCATCACCACATTCAGAGAGCATGTTTTGAAGTCTTAAATATAGAACATGAGTAGTCCTAGATATTTTCTTTTGGGAAAGACTAGGGGAATTATCTCTCTCTTTTTTTTTTTTCATATACTGTAGTAGGAGATACAAATTAAAAATTTTCAGCAGAATTTAATTTTTAAATGTTATCATAAAGTTATTGGAAGTTAGAGAAAAGCACCAGTCACTTAAAAAAAATTACTTCCCCACGCCATGGATACGAATAAGGTATGACAGGAGACAAATGACTTTCTGATGGCAAATATATTTTGGCTTTTGTTTAATCAAACACAATGAGAAGTTAAAGAACTGCTTGTGGACCAGTCAGGTGATCAGACCTCCCTTAAGGGCAACCAAGACTCTCAAGGTGATGTGAGGAATGCATGCGCATGCATGGCACTGGGCCTCCATGTCCCCTGAAACCAAGATATGACAAAAAGGCCCTGTGATTGGCAATCGGGAGAGAGATGCCACACAAGTTAAGGTTTTATGTCCGTTAAATAAAACAACCATCGGTTCTTGATCATATGCTACCTCCTGAACTGGCCGAATGACGACCATTTCTTTTTGGTATAGTGACTCTATGTATTCCTTCCATCTTCTTTTGATGCTTCCTGCATTGTTCAGTATTTTGCCAATATAATCCTTCACTATTGCAACTCGAGGCTTAAATTTTTTCTTGAGTTCTTTGGGCTTGAGAAATGTTGAGCATGTTCTTCCTTTTTGGTTTTCTAACTCCAGGTCTTTGCACATGTCCTTACAATATTTTCTAGAGGCTCCCTTTAAAATCTTCTGTTCAGCTCTTTTACTTCATCATTTCTTCCATTTGCTTTAACTACTCAACCAACATTCAAGAGCAAGTTTCAGAGTGTCTTATGACATCAGTTTTGGTCTTTTCTTTCTTTCCTGTCTTTTTAATGACCTCTTGCTTTCTTCATGTATGATGTCCCTGGTGTCATTCCACAACTCATCTGGTCTTTGTCATTTGTTCAATGTGTCAAATCTATTCTTGAGATAGCCTATAAACTTAGGTGTGATATACTTAAGGTTGTACTTTGGCTCTCGTGGACTTGTTCTAATTGTCTTCAGCTTCAACTTGAACTTGCATATGGGCAACTGAGGATCTGTTCTGCAGTCAGCTCCTGGCCTTATTCTGACTGTTGACGTTGAGCTTTTCTATCGTCTCTTTCCACAGATGTAGTCAATTTGATGCCTGTGTATTCAATTCAGTGAGGTCCACGTGTATAGTTGACATTTATGTTGTTGAAAAAAGGTATTTGCAATGAAGAAGTTATTGGTCTTACAAAATTCTATCATGTGATCTCTGACATCGTTTCTATCACCAAGGCCATATTTTCCAACTACCGATCCTTCTTTGTTTCCAACTTTCGCATTATAATCAACGGTAATTATCAATACATTCTGATTGTATGTTCTATCAATTTTAGACCGCAGAAATTGGTAAAAATCTTCAATTTCTTCATCTTTGGCCTTAGTGGCGGGTGCATAAATTTGAATAATAGTTGTATTAATTGGTCTTCCTTGTAAGCATATGGATATTATCCTATCACTGACAGCTTTGTACTTCAGGACAGATCTTCAAATGTTCTTTTTGACGATGAATGTGTTGCTGTTCCTCTTCAATTTGTCACTCCCAGTATAGTAGGTCATATGATCATCTGATTCAAAATGGCCAATACCATTTCAGCTCACGAATGCCTAGGATAACTATGTTTATGCATTCCATTTCATTTTTGACAGTTCCCAATTTTCCTAGATTCATTCTTCATACATTCCATGTTCCAATTACTAATGGATGTTTGCACCTTTTTCTTCTCATTTTGAGTCATGCCACACCAACAAATGAAGGTCCCAAAAGTTTGACTCCATTTATGTCATTAAGGTCGACTCTACTTTGAGGAGGCAGATCTTCCCTAGTCGTCTTTTGAGTGCCTTTCAACCTGAGGGGTCATCTTTTGGCATTCTATCAGACAAAGTTCTGCTGCTATTCATAAGGTTTTCATTGGCTAATTTTTTTAAAGAGACAATGGAAGACAGCTACCTGGTCAACTGACTGGAAGAGATCCGTATTTATGCCTATTCCAAAGAAAGGTTATTCAACCAAATGTGGAAATTATCGAACAATATCATTAATATCACATGCAAGTAAAATTTTGCTGAAGAGCTTTCAAAAGGGCTACAGCAGTACATCGACAGGGAACTGCCAGAAATTCAGGCAGGATTCAGAAAAGGAGTGGAATGAGGGATATCATTACTGATGTCAGATGGATCCTGGATGAAAGCAGAGAATACCAGAAAGATGTTTACCTGTGTTTTATTGACTATGCACAGGCATTCAACTGTGTGAATCATAACAAATTAAGGATAACATTGTGAAGAATGGGAATTCCAGAACACTTAATTGTGCTCCTGGGGAACCTATACTTAGATCAAGAGGCAGTTGTTCGAACAGAAC